CAGATTAATTACCAGAATTTTAAAAAGTGAAACCACTGGAAATCAGAAACAGAAACAGAAATTGCTGGGAAAGCTCAGCAGGTCTGGCAGTATCTTGGAGAGAAATCAAAGTTAATGTTTCAGGTCCAGTGACCCTTCTTCAGAACTGATGGTAGCTAGGAAAAGGTTGGTTGGAAGATGAGGTGTTGTTTCTCCAGCTTGTGCTGAGCTGCGCTGGAGCACTGCAGCAAGCCTGAGACAGAGATGTTAGCCATGGAACAAGGTGGTCTTTTCTGCTTGGGAACACTACAGCCTTCTTGTCTCAATATCGAGTTCAACAACTTTAGGGTTTGAGGCACCTTCTCCCATGTCCTTACCCCAAACCCACACACCAGGCCTTGTTATTACATGGTCTGCTATTACATACAACCCACTGTTGGCCACTGATTGTTCCCATTGACAGCTATTCATTCTCCCAGGCTGATTGTTTTCCACTCCTTTGTCTATCCAATTGTTCCTCTCACTCTTTGCACTCTATCACTACAAATTGTTTACTCCTTACTACCTCCCCTACATTATCTTCTGTATAAAAACCAGCAATTTCCTCATTACCATCAGTTCTGAGGAAGGGTCACTCGACCCAAAACGTTAACTCTGATTTCTCTCCACAGATGCTGCCAGACCTGCTGAGCTTTTCCAGAAATTTCCATTTTTGTTTTTTATTATCTGACTGCTTCCCTGAGTCAGGAGGTTTGTGGGTAAAAACCCTTTAGGTACTTAAGTATATCATGGAGGTTGAAATTGCAATGAAGAAAGTGCTTTACTGACACAGCTATCAGTTTTCTGAAGTGATGGGGCTATGGCTCAGCTGGAGAGTGGAAATTCGACAGTACCATTTGAAAAAGAATTGAGATTTTCTTTTCTATATATCCTGATAACACTGGCTCCTCCACCATTGCCACTAGAAAGAAAGTCACTAATCTCAACAACTATGCATTCAAAGATGTGGACCAAATAGCTGCTTCATTTATCATTATAACAAAAGATGGTGTGATCCTTCTAGTTTCACATTCTCATGAGAAGAAAGACTTTTTTTTGTCTAACTAGTAATGATCCTGGTCCATTTCAGAAGTGTTGGATGGCTCTCTCACACTGAATAAAAAGTGACCAGAAATGCAATCAGTCACCAATAAACTTCCCATGGGTCCCTCTTTGGCCTGAATGGTATCAGTTTCATGCCTGCTTTACATGAATGTTTGATTTATCACCATTTTCAAATCATCTTCAATTCATCATGATTGTCTCCCTAACTGAATAGGTTGTGTGGTGTACTTATAGCTTGGTCTGAGACAGAGTCAGTATCCCAATCTCTCTTGTGTGTCAAAACGAGCCTCCAAACTTTTGCATTTTGTCTGAAAAACACTTTGCTATGCAATCAAATTTTTAGTGATTTGTCCTTCCACCGTTATTGTTCTAAACAAATGAGCACCCTTGTTTAGGTCTGGCAGCAGAGGTACATTACATTTGAAAAAAACAAAAGAACTGCAGATGCTGTAAATCAGAAACAAAAACAAAAATTGTTGGAAATGCCCTGCAGGTTTGGCAGCATCTGTGAAGAGAAATCAGAGCTAACGTTTCGGGTCCAGTGATCTTTCCTCGGAACTCAGACATTGCATTTTGCTTATTTTGTCACAGAATTTGAGGGTCAGTGGCTATTCGTAGTGTCCATCCCTAATTGCCCTTGAGCAGGTTGTGGTGAGCTGCTGCTTCCAGAGGTAAATTCAGAGAGCTGTTAGGGATGGAGTTTGAGGACTTTGATCCAGCCATAGTGACAAAACAGCAACATTACTTCCAAGTTAGCATGGTATATGTTTTGGACGGGAGCTTGCTGGTCATGATGTTTCCATGTATCTGCTGCCCTTATTCTTCTACACAAAAAAAGTGCTTTCAAACATAGCTTAGCAATTTGTTGTGGTAGTCTTGTATATGGTACACATTGCTGTCAATGTACACTTGTGATGGAGGGAGTGAGTGTTTAACAGTGGCATTGAGAGTGGCAATTGACCATTGTACTAGATGGCACAAAGTTTCTTAAATGCTACTGTAACTACACTAATCCAGGTAAATAGGAAGAATTCCATCATACTCCTGCCTTGTTTCTGATAGATGGTGAATAAGCTGTGGAGAGTAGGGAGGTAGGTTACTTACTAAAAAATCCCCATGCTCTAACTATCTCTCCTGGCCACAGTATTACTATGGATGCTCAGTTCTGAGGAAGAGACACTGGGCCTGAAACATTAACTCTGATTTTTTTCTCCACAGATGCAGCCAGACCTGTTGAGGTTTTCCAACAGCTTCTGTTTTTATTACTATGGATGGTTCAGTTAAGTTTCTGGTCAATTTATCCCTTTCAATGTTGATAATGTAAAAAATTTGTTTATTTTCTCTTCAGAATTGAAGTAGTGATTTTGGTACAAAAATAGAAATTGCTGGAAAAGCTTGGTATGTCTGGCAGCATCTATGGAGAGAAATCCAGAGTTTGGGTCAAGTGACGCTTCCTCAGAAACATTAACTCTGATTTCTCTCCACAGATGCTGCCAGACCTGCTGAGCTTTTCCAGCAATTTCTGTTTTTGTTTCTGATTTACAGCATCCACAGTTCTTTCGGTTTTTATGAAGTGATTTTGGTAAATGTGAAAAGAGGCAAGCTGATCTTGAATGACTTCGCAAAGAATCTAGGGCAAGAACAATACTCCTTAACTATTATACAATCACTCTTAATGATAATCCTCAGACCCATAAGCAAGGTTATCAGCTGATCATTTACTTAAAAGGGAAATTAATCAGAACTGCAACACAGTGCTGGATTGATATGTGAAAGAGCATTTAGAACAACGAGAGAATACCATACACCAAAATGATCTTTGGAGATTAAAAAAAAATCAACAAGAAGTTCAAAATTGCTAAGCCAGCATAAAGTTGAGTAGGGGGAAAATAAAAATCAGGCAGACTGCTTAACAAGCAGAAATTATCATTTGAGTTACAGAAGATGACCTGTATGTAGGGTCTTTCATTAAACACATTTCCCTGGTGATGCTGTCTTGATCTGTTTACTTAATTCAAATAGATTTGTGTCTCATGCATAAACAATCATGTTTTCCAAGAAACCACAGCATGTGAGGGAGGAATCATCAGACTCCACATTCAGCAGAACAGCACCTTATTTGTTGTTAATTAATGAAACAGAAAATTCTCAGCGAGCACTAAATTGGGATGTTTCATGGTTATTGTTCATTTGAGAAAAATTACAACAAAAATTAAATGTTCATTTAACATTTTCAACATAATAACACACCAAAATGTCTATAGGAGTGTTCCCAAGCAAGGATTGACACCAAATCATATAAGGCATTAGGACAGATGACCCAGTCTAACCCCAAAGGGGTAGTTTCCAGATGCTTTTGAAATATAGACAGGGACGTACAGAGATGTTGAGGATTAGGAAGAAATCTTCAGTCCTCAGCAGACAAAAGAATTAGAATTAAAATCAGAATTAGATTAATTTTCATATGCACTAAAATACAGGGATACATGAGTGCAGTGAAAAGTGAACAAATTCTCCATTTCCAGCACCATCTGAGATACAAATATACAACATTTTAGGTATAAATTAGAAAAATAAAGAAAAAAAGATAAAAGTATGATATAATGTTAATCATGAAAATATAACTGATCATTTGACTCTGACATCAATAAGGTAGAAGACACCATTCTGGAATAAGTTTTGAAGAGTGAGAGAGATCTTAGACCACACACTAGAGTGCTATTTTTGAGAACCTATTATATACAGATATAAATAAAGGAATGCAACAGGAAATAAGGTATTGGAGCATCTCACTTTTATGAATGAACAAACATCCTCAGACAGTGAATTTGCAGACACCTTCAGCCCAAGATACTCCAAACAAATATCTCAATATGCACATGGCAATTTTGGCCTAAAAGACAAGATGCAACCGAAAGCAAAGCTACCAACATTGGGACATTGAAAATCGGAGCACTCAATGGGAAAAACCTAGATGATTGCAGGGAATTTAAAAGGTTTGTAGAAGTGAGGAGGTGACAGGTATGGGGATGAGGTAAGGGAAGAGTTGTAAACATGGGGAATTTTATTCCAATGCATTGTAATTAGCCTTTGTCGAATTGACTGTCTTTCTTTGTGAAGATTTCTGTGCTGACTGACAAAGAACTTGCAGCTATTCAGCACCTGATTGCATCCGAGGAGTCAACCAAAGTTATTTGCAAACATTCAAAGTCACTGTTGTTATGTCAGCAAGCAAGACAGTTAACTGGAGCACAGAGAAAGGCCTATAATCAGGAAGTGAAAGGTCAAGCATATTATCTGGCTTCTAATCATGTCAGTTTACCAATCTGCAGAACCTCAGTGTGAACATTTGACCCATTGCACTGGAACTGGCTCTTAGAAAGAACTCTCACATTGTCCCATTTTTCTGCTTTTCTCCCTCCAGTATTTATAAATGTTTCTATTGAATCTGCCTCCAACATCCTTTCAGATGATGCATTCCCGATCAGTACAACTCAATGCATGAAAAATCTTATCTAGATTTCACATCTCATTGTTTTGTCAATTACATTCTGTATTCTTGTTACTGGCCCTCCTCTGGCCTTATGCAACTAAGTTCTCAGTTAGCTTACTCTATCAAAACACTTCAAAATTTTTAACATTGCGAGTAATTCTCCTTCTCTACTCTAAGCAAAACAATTCCAGTTTATCTTGCCTGTGATCAAATTTCTATCTCTTTATATCATTTTAGCAAAACTCCTCTGCTCCTTTTCCTTCAAAAACGCATGATGCTCAGGATTGAACACAATACCCAAGCTGAAGCATGAGCATTGATTTGTAAAGTTTTAGTGTAATCTCCTGGCTCCCGTATTTGATACAATTATTCACAAAGCCAAGTCAACTGTGAGCTTTGTAACCTCTTTGTCATCCATTCTGCCACTTTTTCCATAGTGTAGTGGTTATCACATTCGCCTCACACGCGAATGGTCCCCAGTTCGATCCTGGGAGAAAACATTGTCAGGTGACACGGTAGGTCAGTGGTTAGCATTGCTGTCTCACAGTGCCAGGAACCTGGGTTTGATTCCATCCTTGGGTGACGGTCTGTGTGGAGTTTGCACATTCTCCCCATGTCTGTGTGGGTTTCCTCTCATGGTCCAAAAATGCACAGAGTAGGTGGATTGGCCATGCTAAATTGCCTGTAGTGTCCAGGGATGTTTAGATTAGGTGGGTTAGACATGGGAAAATGCAGGGGTAGGGGAATGAATTGGGGTACGATGCTCTTCAGAGGGGTGGTGTGGATTAGGTGGGCTGAATGGGCTGAAGCAGTAGAGGCTATTCAGACAATCCATGTTTTCTACCATTCAATGAGATTAAAGCTATTGTATATCCACCCATTGTTAGTTCAATACAGAAAATAGCCTTCGCTAGCAAAAAAGACTGGTGATTTAGGATTAAATTATGACTAGTATCTACTATTTTGAGTGCAAGATAAATCTATCACTCTTCACGTGAAGAGATGTTTCATTGCTTCCCCCCTGAATGGACTGACTCTGATCCCAAGGATTTGTCCATTGTCCTAAGTTCTACCACCAGCAAGAAAGAAGTTTATTTTCCAACGTTCTTTTCAATCAAATCCTGACTTAATTGTCTACAGTCCAGGAAAATTCCTGGTTCAGGCAATCAGTCGCTAACAAATGCACTTCATGGAACATACTGGTAAATCTGTGCTATACCCTACCCAAGGCCAATATGATTTCCACATACTATCCAGAATTGTACACACCAATGTGACATTTAATTTTCCTTTATGGTATGTGCCTTATTTACTGATATAAATCCAAGCTTAATGCTTGGACATTCACACACAAATCTTGAAGGGCATGTTGTCTGACAGCATTTGAGCTTTAATGTAACCAGGACTTTTTATTTTTAACTCACTCATGGAATGTGGGTATCGCTAGCTAGGCCAGCATTTATCATCCATCCCTAATTGTCCAGAGGGAAGTTAAGAGTCAACCACGTTGCTGTGGGTCCAGGGTCACATATAGGCCTGACCAGGTAAGGATAGCAGTTTCCTTCCCTAAAGAACATTAATGAACCAGATGAGTTTTTCCAACAATCGACAATGGTTTCATGGTCATTATTACACTCTTCATTCAAGATTTTTTAATTGAGTTCAAATTCTACCATCTGCTATGGCCAGGATTTCAATCCAGGTTCTCAGATCATTACTGGGGTCTCTGGATTAGTGGTCTATTGATCGTACCACTAGGCCATTTCCTCCCCTTTACAAGTTGAACCAAACTTTTGTCCCTCTTTTTACTAGCCCACTTTTTGATTGTTGGCTAACATATTTTAGTGATGTGCAATGGACAATTTAGCAATGTTCTGTTTGCCCTCCTGTTGAGCAAGTTCATCTATCACCTTGAGATTTTTTTCTTCTCTCAAACAACAGATTATGCAATTTAATTGAGTCTTCTTCTACTTTCTGTGTTAGTTATTAAAAAAAAATCCTAAGGGGAAGTAGTTGCCTTTCATTGGAGTTTGAACAGTCCAGCTTATTAATTTGTTCTTAGACTCTTTTGTTTTACGAAATACTTAGTAGCTATCCTGTTTATCTACATCATTCCAGATAATCAATTATTTGAAGATATGCCGATAACAAGACACAGAATTACAGGCCAATAATATGCACATTGTTTGAAAAATTAGGAGATTTTTGGCTATGTCAATCCTTGGTTGAGCTTTCTATTGTTGAATCCTGCTGGTATTAGGGTACTTCCTTCTATTTATACTGTTCTTATCTTTAATTTCTTTGTGGCAAGTGTACTTAAGCATTTTTATCTTTTCGCCAGTATTCCAATTAGAGATCAATGATTGTTGAACTTCCTAGAAGATGTATACTTCCCACTCTGCAGTGGGAAAGAACTTGATCCAGCGGGAGACAAACTCATCCTATACATTCGAAGTGTTCCCTTTACAATATTCACATTCAGGGCTGCAAGCAATTTCAAGGGCCACATTGTGCAACAGATGGGCCGTGTAAAGCATAGGATTTTTGAGACTTCATTGATGGTACGTGGGCATTTATTACCCATTCCTTAGTTTATAGAATCCCTACAGTGTGGAAACAGGCCCTTCGGCCCAACAAGTCTACACTGACCCTTGGAGCATCCCACCCCGACCCATCCCCCTAATCTACACATCCCTGAACACTACAGGCAATTTAACATAGCCAATCCACCTAGCTTACACATCTTTGGACTGTGGGAGGAAACCAGAATACCTGGACAAAACCCACACAGACAGTTGCCTGAAGGTGGAATTGAACCCAGGTCCCTGGCATTGTGAGGCAGTAGTGCTAACCACTGAGCCACCATGCCATTGTCCTCAAGAAGGTGGTGAGAGGTTGCCTTCTTGAACCGCTGCAGTCCACGTGCTGCAGGTAGAGCCACAATGCCGTTGGGGAGGGAGTTTCAGGATTTTACCCTTGTGACATTGAGGGAATGGCAACTATTTCCAAATCGGGACACTGAATGGCTTGGAGACGAATATTGCATGTTTCCTTGTACCTGTTGCCCTTGTCCGTCTGGATGGTAATGGTTGGATGGTGCTGTCTGAGGATTGTTGGTGAATTTCTGCAATGCACTTGTAGTTTGTACACAGTGCTGGTACTGAGCATTGGTGGCGGAGGAAGTGGATATTTGTGGATGTGGTGCTAATCAAGTGGACTGCTCTGTCCTGGATGGTGTCAAGCTTCTTGAGTGCTGTTGGAGCTGCACTCATCCAGGCAAATGGGGAGTATTCCATCACACTCCTGACTTATACCTTGTGGACAGGCTTTGGGGAGTCAGAGTCAGAGAGTTTAGAAGGAATGCTGAGCGTTAGCGGTTTTAATCTATTTCAGCCAAACATCAGCCCAATGGTGTTGACTGAGCTCTTCTCTAGTTGCTGCCAACATACCAGTTTTATATCACAATTATTATATCTCTTTATTCCTCCACAGTACCTGTATGTTACTTCTTAAATTATCCTCAGTCAACTCATTTGCTAGCTCAAAATGATGACCTGATACTTTGAATCCATTTCTTAAAGATTCATGGTCTTACTTAATCCATCAATGTATCTTTGTAATTTTAAGCAGTGTGTAATCAGTATCGAGCTGGTGTCAAGGTAGATTCTTGACCTGAAGCAAAGTTTGAATTCCAGACCTCTTATTGAAGGCTTTATTGGGAAATGGACCATAAATTTACTCTGAGCTCTCCCTTCTGGGTATGGTCTAGTACAGGGTTAACTATTTGCTAAAAAAAACTGAGAATGACAGAAATTAGAAACAAAATCAGACACTGCTGGAAAAAGCTCAGCAGTTCAGGCAGTATCTGTGGAAAGAAATAAGAGTTAATATTTAGGATCCAGTGACCCTTCCACAGTTTTGCAGAAAACCAAAGAAGTGAGGATGCTGAAAATCAGAAACAAAACCAGAAATTGCTGGAAAAATTCAGCAGGTCTGACAGTTCTGAAGAAGGGTCATTGGGTCCAAAGTATTAACTCTGCTTTCTCTCCATGCCAAATCTGCTGAGCTTTCCAACCATTTCTGATTTTATTAACTACTTGTACCTTGGCTCATCCATTGGTGAGAAATTTTACTTTTTCTCTCTTGAATCATGCTATGAATACTGACTAAATTGTTGTCTCTGTCCTTTCTTCCCATCTCTTACATTCAGTTCATCTGATTTAATGGATTTAAATTCATACTTCTGGATTCTAGATTCCATACAGTGCAGAAGCAGGCTATTCAGCCCTTCAAGTCCACACCAGCCCTCTGAAGGGCATGCCACACTATCCCTATCACCCCACATTTTCCCTATGGCTAATCCAACTAGCCTACATGTCGCCAGACACTATGAGCAATTTAGCATGGCCAACCCACCTAATCTACACATCTTTGGACTGTGAGAGGAAACCAGAGCATCGGGGGGAAAGCAATGCAGACGCAGGGAGAATGTGTGAATTCCACACAGACAGTCACCAGAGGGTGGAAACGAACCCAGCTCCTTGGTACAGTGAGGCAACAGTGCTAAACACTGAGCCACAGTGCCACCCTGGGAACCCCATAGCTAAAGACCTTTGTTCAACTATACATCAAACAGAAAATGTCAGCCACTTCAAAAGAAGCTATATTTGATTCCTTTTTCCATCATCCACACAATGGCTATGACCACAGTTTCATTAAGATCACCTATTTCCGTCTCTGTTGCATTCCTGTACCATAGCTTACCAGCTACTGAAACCCACATGCATTGGCTTTGTTATACCTAAATTTCACAATTTCAATGCACAACTGGTTGGACTCCCATTGTTTTGATATTCACCTGTGGGATGTGGGTGTCTCTGGCTGGGCCAGCATTTATTGCCCGTCCCTAGTTGCCCTTGAGATGGTGGTGCTGAGCTGCTTTGCTGAACTGCTACTTTCCATGTGGTGTAGGGAGACCCACAATGCCCTTAGGGAGGGTGTTCAAGGTTTTTGACCCAGTCACACTGAAGGATGTATTTCCAAGGATGGTAAGTGCCTTGGAGGGGAGCTTGCAAGGGGTGGTGTTTCCATATATCTGCTGGTCTTGTCCTCCGAGATGGTAGCACTTGTGAGTTTGGAAGGTGCTGTTAAAGGATCTTTAGTGAATTTCTGCTCCCTATAAAATTTATGCGCTATTGTCTATAAAATTGATATCATCCAACACTCTGATACTGTCTGGTCTCTTTATTCTCTCCAAGATCTGTTCACACCTGCTCACTCTGGTCCTGGGATGACCAACACCTGAATGTTAAAATTTTCATTCTTGTTTTCATATCTTTCCATGGTTTGCTCTGCCCCGTTTGTCAAGCCCTCCATGACCTTTCGAGATATCTGCACTTACTTAATTTTGGCTTCTTGAGTATCCACAGTTTTAATTGCTTCACCATTAATCGTGTTTACAGCAGGCTGAGCACTCAGCTTTTGAATTCCCTCCTTACAC